CTACTTAATTTGTGTGATGCTCTGGCTTGTGTGGCTCAGTTGGTTGATCATCATCCCCTGCACCAAGAGGTCTCCAGTTTGATTCCTGGGCAGGTCACATGCCCAAGTTTCAGGCTCAATCTCCAGTAGGGGGTGTGTAGGATTCAAACAATGGATGTTTTCTCTCTCACTGATGTCTGTCTCCCTGTCCCTTTCTCTAAAATCAATAAAAGACATTCTTAAAGAATTTGTGTGATTAATTGATTTTATTTGATAAAAATAAGTTAAATTATAAACAAATTAGTAAAAATTTATAATAGGATTACCATGGGAATTTGTGCTGAGTACTATGAAAGAAACAAGATGCTGAAATAAAATAAGTTTGGGAAGTCTCTCTAAAGAGGTTCTATTCCAGCCCTAGCTGGTTTTCGCTAAGTGGATAGACCATCTGCCTGTGGATTGAAGGGTCCCAGGTTCACTTCCGGCCAAGGGCACATGATCAAGTTGCGGGCTCAATCCCCAGTGGGGAGTGTGCAGGAGGCAGCTGATCAATGATTCTCTCTCATCATTGATGTTTGATGTTTCCATCTCTCCCTCCCTCTCCCCCCCTCTCTCAAATCAATAAAAACATTTTTAAAAATAAAGAGGTTCTATTCCATATTCTAGCAAGTTTTCACTATTCATGTCATATTAGGTAGAGCTAATACTTGCACTCTTCTTAGACAAAAACACACATACTTTGTGAAACATAGCATGGTAGAAAAACACTATCTTTATAACCAAGATGATTCAGATTAGATTTTCATTCCAGTTTATGTATTTAATTACATACTATTTAACATGTTACTTAAGCTATATGAGCTTCTTTCCTCACCTGCAACTTGGGAGTTACCTCTCACTGAGTTAGGAAAAATAAAATGAGAATGCATAATAAATCCTCTGGTATACAACAGGAAGTCATCAATGTGTAAAAATCCTTTTCTGTGCTTGCCTGTCTTCCAAAATTAAACATACATACACAACCCTGGCAGGTAGCTTGGTTGGTTTAGAGCGTTGTCCCAATAGGTTCAATCCCTGGGTCAGGGCACATACAGGAATCAACCAATGAATGCATAAATGAGTGGAACACCAAATCAGTTTTTTTCTCTCTAAAATAAATAAATAGCCGAAACCGGTTTGGCTCAGTGGATAGAGTGTCAGCTTGCGGACTGAAGGGTCCTGGGTTCGATGCCGGTCAAAGGCATGTACCTGGGCTGCGGGCACATCCCCAGTGGGAGATGTGCAGGAGGCAGCTCATCGATGTTTCTCTCTCATCGATGTTTCTAACTCTCTATCTCTCTCCCTTCCTCTCTGTAAAAAATCAATAAAATATATTTTAAAAAAATAAATAAATACACACCACACACACACACACACACACACACACACACACAGAAATTCAAAAGGATACAAGACAGTTTTCCCTGACAGCTTTAGCCTATAATGCCCATGGTTCTCCTGTATCACAGAACTTGGGAAGAATAGTCCTTACTGTAACCATAATTCTCCTTAGATTGCAAACTCTTCTCTATTAGGTGTTAATCCTAAATTCTTTTTCTTTTTCTTTTTTTTTTTTAATATATTTTATTGATTTTTTACAGAGAGGAAGGGAGAGGGATAGAGATTTAGAAACATAGATGAGAGCCGAAACCGGTTTGGCTCAGTGGATAGAGCATCGGCCTGCGGATTGAAAGGTCCCAGGTTCGATTCTGGTCAAGGGCATGTACCTGGGTTGCGGGCACATCCCCAGTAGGAGATGTGCAGGAGGCAGCTGATCGATGTTTCTATCATCATCGATGTTTCTAACTATCTCTCTCTCTCCCTTCCTCTCTGTAAAAAAACCAATAAAATATATTAAAAAAAAAGAAACATCAAACATCAGACAAAGGTGTGTTTTTTTTAAAGGTAGACTGACCCAGATGAACAAACCACACAATTTTTAAAGTTTTTCATGTTAGTCTGCTACAATGGTCCAATTTTGTTTTTAAAGTTTTTTTTTTTAACATTCACAAATGTTTTGTTGAGAGAAAAAGGCATGTTGCTGAATAATACTATTTCTATGATACAGTATATAATATCCATATTAGAACAATGTTTTCACATTAACATCTCTAAAATACAACTTTTTCTTGTTTTAATTTTATTTCTTCTTTATTAAGGTATTACTTATATGTCCTTATCCCCTCCATTGTCCCCCACATCCCCACTCATGCCTTCACCCCCCCCCCCAATTTTTTTTAAGTAAGTGGTGTGTCATAGTGCTCCTGGCAGAATTTATCTTAGTGTTATGTAAAGTAATGATACATGTTATAGTGATAGCATGTTGGAGTCAGTAATATGAGGTATGTTTTTGTTTATAAATGCATTGGCATTTGAGCAAAGAGAAGTTCTGAGGCCTGGCCGGTACTCCTTAGTGGTTAGAGTGTTGACCCGAAGGGTCGAGAGTTTGATTCCCTGTCAAGGGAATCATAGCTGGGTTGCAGGTTCATTCCCCTGCCCCTTGTCAGGGAACATTTGAGAGGCAACCAATCCGTGTGTGTGTGTGTCTTTCTCCCCCTTCTTTCCCCCCCTTCCACTCTCTCTAAAACAATCAATGGAAAAAGATCTTCCAGTGAGAATTAACAAAAAAGGATGGAAAAAGAACTTTTTTGAATTTGATAGTATGTACCACTTTACACGAGTAGTCAATGAAGAGAGGACAGAGCTTTCCATAGTCTTTGATATGAGATAGGCACTAGCACCGGATATATAGAATGCCCTACTTTATAGCAAGCTCCACTGTTATTGCTAATTCAAATGAACTCTTATTTGCACATACTAACAGATTTATCATTCAGAAGCATTTATACAGTCACTACAATATAAGCTCCTTAAAGAGATCTTTTGTCTATTTTATTTAATGATAAATCCCATTTCTAGAATGGTGCCCTTGGTACATAGTTGGCACTCAATATGTTAGTGCCATCTGTCAAATAAAAAGTAAAAGTGATACATTTCTCTCTTTGTTAATCCTCACCCGAGGATAGTTTTTCTATTGATTTATTTTTATTATTTTTAGAGAGAGTGGAAGGGGTGAGGGGGGAAAAAAAGGGGGGAAGAGAGTGGAGAGGGGGAGAGAAAGGAAGGCGCCCCAACTGGGCCCTGGGGATTGAACCTGCAACTGAGGTATCTGCCTGTGACCCTTTGTCGCATGGGCCAATGCTCTAACCACTGACTGGTGCCAGCCAGGGCCATTTCTCTCTTTTTTAAAATAGATTTTAAAAAATTGATTTGAGAGAGAGGGGGAGAGAGAGAGAGAAACACATTGATTTGTTGTTCCACTTATTTATGCATTCATTTGTTTATTCTTTTTTTTTCATTTGTTTATTCTTGACTGCGCCCTGATTGGGCTTGAACTTGGCAACCTTGGAGTATGTGGACAGTGCTCTACCCCATGGTCGGCAAACTGTGGCTCATGAGCCACATGCGGCTCTTTGCCCCCCTGAGTGTGGCTCTTCCTAAGCCTTAGGAGTACCCTAATTAAGTTAATAACAATGTACCTATCTATATAGTTTAAGTTTAAAAAATTTGGCTCTCAAAAGAAATTTCAATCGTTGTACTGTTGATATTTGGCTCTGTTGACTAATGAGTTTGCCGACCACTGCAACTGAGCTACCTAACTAGGGCATATATTTTTCTTAAAGCTACAAACCTCAGTTTTTTATTGCATCCTCAGGTCCTTACCACATTAGTTACTATTGGAATTAAAGTAAATAATTTAAGATTGAATTAGAATTTTGAGTAAAGTAAAATTTGGTTTTAGCATCTCATAGAGTTATTAAGAGATTTGGAAGCATACCCACAACAGTGCAAATAGCCTTTTAAAGTGATGGCATCACAAACTTTGAGCAGACTTAAGCAGCTGACTTATTTATTATAAATTTAAAATGGTCCAATTTGACAGGAATTTAATGTTTCACTACCAAGGTAATAAAGTCAGTTTAGCTGAGAATGTTTGGTAACCAGCTTAATCCAGTGGGTTTATTAGAGTGTAACTCTGTCAGAAATCATGTTCCATAGGGATCCTACTGAATTTCTTTTATGATTAACATGCCCTTAAAATTGTTCAAGTCAAATTCTCCATGCTTTATGCTACAAAACTGATGTCTCCAGTAGAGTATTTGTTAGTGTGATAAAGTGTATGGTACTTTCTTTAGAAGAAATTTAGTTCATATTTATATTCCTAAATGCTAACAGTAGAGTCTTTATTACTGTGATATTTGGATCTTCTAGAAATCCATAAAACAATATTGATTGTCAGTGCATTGTCTATGAATTAGGTTTAATGAAAATCCAAACTTTGCGTAGCTAATAATTCACTCATTTCTTGGAAGTTGTCTTAAGTCCATCAGATCATTTGAAAGCAACATGCCACTTGGACATTCACATACAGAACTTTCTACAGAAATGCCCTTAATGGTATCATTAGATCAGAAGTATCCAACCAAGTGAAGACTGCTTCTCTTGTGTAAATCTAGTCAAACATTTTTCGACTATTCCTTCTTAAGTAAAGATCTATCTGGTAAATTCCTTAGGTTTAGTACCTTGGATTATTTTCACCTAATAAACTTTTTATGCTTTTTAATCAAATATAATAAAAACAATTTAACTTGGGACATTTTAAGTTATTGCTTTGATGCCATTAACCATAGACAAAATTCATAGACAAAACTATGAACATTATTTGTTCATAGTTTATGTGTGTTTCTGCTCTTTTAAATAATGTTTGATTTTACTTGATAGCCTTTTTAAAAATATATATTTTATTGATTTTTTTACAGAGAGGAAGGGAGAAGGAGAGGGATAGAGAGTTAGAAACATCGATGAGAGAGAAACATCGTTCAGCTGCCTCCTGCACATCTCCCACTGGGGATGTGCCCGCACCCCAGGTACATGCCCTTGACTGGAATCGAACCGGGACCCTTCAGTCTGCAGGCCGATGCTCTATCCACTGAGCCAAACCGGCTTCGGCAAGAAAATTTTTTTTAATATGTTGAGACACTAGTGTTTCTGCCCTCTTTTTTCCAACTTCTTGTACTTAGGCATCAGGATTTAAGTGAACTATTTTGGCTAGTGCAGTGTGAGCAGAAATTATGTCTAAGAATTTGTGTAACTATACAGGCAGTAAAAACCCTTTCCTGGTTCTATGTTTCTTTCCTTGCTTTTTTGACAAGGAAGCCTTAAGTGTTAAATGGTCCAACTCCTTGATGGTGGACCCTCACTTTTTTTTTTTAAATATATTTTATTGAGTTTTCACAGAGAGGAAGAGAGAGAGAGAGAGTAGAAACATCAATGAGAGAGAAACATCGACCAGCTGCCTCCCGCACACTCCCCACTGGGGATGTGCCCGCAACCAAGGTACATGCCCTTGACCGGAGCCGAACCTGGGACCCTTCAGTCCGCAGGCTGACGCTCTATCCACTGAGCCAAACCGGTTTCGGCGATAGTGGACCCTCACTTAAATATTTGAGTTGAGAAAGAAAGCTTTGTTGTGTCGACCCTCTGAGATTTGGGGGAGTTTTTTAGTTTCCAAGCACACTTATCCTATCCTTTGGGGATACAAAGTTATCTATTACAATTCATAGCTATTGATTTTTAAGAAAAGGTTTAAAACATGTTTACTGTCTTGTCTTTCAATTTTGAGATGCTAAGTAGATTATATTTAGGCTTTTCTGCTTTCCAGAATCTTAGGTGAGACACATGTTGCTTCAAAATTAATTATTGGTTTCTCTAAAGATGAATAAACTCATCCTTTGGCTTTTATGTTAAATATGTACATGCCATATTAAGAACATTTTGCGGGGAGCTCCTGGTCCGTACGTGCTGACTGCGCCTGCTCGGCTGCGCCCGGAAGGTTTGAAACATGAATCCTTCATTCTTCTTGTTTGCCCTTTACTTAGGAGTAGCTTCAGCTGCTCCAAAACTTGATGGAAGTTTAGAGGTACAATGGCACCGGTGGAAGGCAACACATGGAAAAGTTTATGGCCCGAATGAAGAAGGATGGATGAGAACAGTGTGGGAGAAGAATAAGAAAATGGTTGACCTGCACAACCAGGAATACAAGCTAGGGAGCAAGAACTACACCTTGGGAATGAATGCTTTTAGTGACATGATCAACGAAGAATTCACGCAGGTGATGACTGACTATTAAAACCAGAAGTGCAAGAAAAGGAGAGTGTTCCAGAAACACTTACGTTGCTGAAATCCCCCCAACAGAGGATTGATGAAAAGAAGGCTATGTGGACATGGACAACAGGGGGATGAGAGCATGAGTGGTGGGGGCAGGTTGGGGGTTAATGGGGGGGAGATAAGGACACATTTGTAATACCTTAACTAATAAAGAATTAAAAAAAAAACATTTTGCTTTCATGCATGCCTTTGAATAGGAGTGAATCATAACACTTCGCTCCTCTGCAAATTTTCCTGAATTCTAAACTACATCTCTTGAGAACTAAGTATTGAGAATTTTTTATTTTTTTTTTAGTATTGAGATTTTAAGGGAGACATTTATTTCATTAAGTTCTCTGGCCATCTTGAGCTCTTTTATCTTAGGTCTTTAGTTTTCCCTTTGGTCTTCAATCTAGCTATTCTCTCAGTACTATTGCTGGCATAGGTCTGGGTTTCAGTTTTTTATTGGGGACCCCACCTCCAAATGCAGACATCAGATCTCCCTTTGCCTGCTGTACTGCTCTATTTCTCTTTCAGCCCAGAAGACACAAACACACATTTTTACTACATACAATGCAAGAGCCATTCATCTTTTTTTATTTTGAGGGTACACTTATTTAAGCTTGGGATAGTAAAACAAGGAAGGGCCATCCTAGGATAGAAGAAGCAACAGGAGAGAGCCTAGGAGGGGCTGCTTTGGCTCTGTAGAGACGTTACATGGGAAAGAAGTGTGAGCTAAGGTGGAGCTGCTGTCAGCTCACTGGAAAGTCAGAGAAAAGGGGGCCTTGGAGACAAGTTCAGGGGGTTAGCCCAGGATAAGCTGCCACTGCCCATTGCTCCCTTGGGTGCAAGTCTCATGGGGACCCTTAAAATTTAGGAGAAAGAAAATAAACTCAAAAAGGAGATTTGAGTGGTGCCCCAAGGAGGGCATGCCAAGAGCCATTCCTCCTTATACAGGGATCCTAGCTCTCGGTATTAACAGTCTTTGATAATCATAAAATGGGAATATTTCTGAAATCTAAGCAGTTGACACTCCCCTTCTAAATTCGCCTTTTATCATCAAAGGATAAAGTACTTTTTTTCCCTCAGCACATCAGCAAATGCTTCAATATATTTGTTCCCTCCTGCTTGCTAATCTCTTCCAGTGCAGATGGCTCTCTGTGATGCTGAATCTTTTGTATTCATTGTATTCAAGTTGTAGTTACTTTGTGAAAAGTCTATAAGGTAATAGTCATGTGATAGAGGAAAACTCAATGTGAGGGAAAGATGGTGGCATTTTATTGAAAAGTACAGGTCTTACTCAGGTCTTCCTGTTTTGAAGATGTGCTCTCGTTTAATAGAACAATTACATTAATTTATCTTACAGGGTAAAGACTTCTCTATGTCAGTCCAGATGTATGCATATAAAATATATTCTGATAGCCCTAACCGGTTCGGCTCAGTGGATAGAGTGTTGGCCTGCGGACTGAAGGGTCCCAGGTTTGATTCCCGTCAAGGGCATGTACCTTGGCTGCGGGCACATCCCTAAGAGGGGGTGTGCAGGAGGCAGCTGATAGATGTTCCTTTCTCATCGATGTTTCTAACTCTCTATCCCTCTCTCTTCTTCTCTGTAAAAAATCAATAAAATATATTAAAAAAATATTCTGATAGATCCCAAATTAACAATTTCAAATAACCATGTCTTATAACTAATAATTAGTCTAGAGAGATTTTTACTGGGGTGAATTTTATAATTACAAGGTGAATTTTATAGAGATGGTTGTACAATTTACAGAGATACCCTTACTTTTTCTCCCCTGACTTCATGATAGTGTTGTGTTACCCCTAAGATAACTTTGCATTCTTTCCATTTGACATAGTGATTTGGGAAGCTTGCCTTCATGCAAGCCAGAAATAAATTTGTCTTAAGTTTCTTTTCATGTTGGGTCTTTGAAGAAGTTTTCTTTTCAGCAGTCCCCAGTCAGCTGAAGATTCCATTGTTACCATTTTCATGTCATCTGGATTACTTTTCATTGAGAAAGGGGACTTCAGAGCTACGTACTTAGTTCATCTTAGTCTTTAAAAAAGATTGTGTTAAAATAACACATAATTTACCATCTTAACCATTTTTTAAAAATGTTTTTATTGATTTTAGAGAGAGAGGAAGGGGGAGGGAGATAGCTAGAAATATTGATTAGAGAGAAACATTGATCTGCTGCTGCTGCTGCCTCCTGTACACCCTCCACTGGGGATGTGCTGGCAACCAAGGTACATGCCCTTGACCGGAACCGAACCTGGGACCCTTCAGTCCACAGGCCGACACTCTAGCTACAGAGCCAAACCGGCTGCGGACTGCCTCCCCCTTTTTTACACCAGCTAGTCACTTTTTTTTTTTTATATAAAAGAACACAAGTTATAACCCTACACTTTCTAACTGTCCTTTAGTGATAATCTATAGCAGATGGATCAGTAAGATTATAGTATACTAGATTCTCAGGATATCCCCAAATGCCTTGACTCCTGTACTATATTATGAGATTGTGTAGATTCTCCTTTAAGTAATTTCATTTACAGAATTCAAGGTCAGATCATATAATACTAGGTACTTCATATTTTAAGTCTGTAGATGCTGTAGTCTTTTTAGTTGGGACTATTGTGTTAATACATAGGCACTTTGCTAAAGTGTGATGACATAGGACACCTATACTAAATTCTCTTTATATACTTAATGAACAGAGCTCAGACCTTCAGGATGATTCTTTGAGTCAGAGTTATTTAGGGACAGGGATAATGAAATTTTTAATGGTTTTGAAGCAAAAGGGCCTATTGAAATTGCTGAGAAAGGACATTAGAATCTCTGGTTCTATCTAGAGCAGGGGTCCTCAAACTATGGCCCGCGGGCCACATGCAAATACAAATATTGTATTTGTTCCCATTTTGTTTTTTTACTTCAAAATAAGATATGTGCAGTGTGCATAGGAATTTGTTCATAGTTTTTTTTTAAACTATAGTCCGGCCCTCCAACTGTCTGAGGGACAGTGAACTGGCCCCCTGTTTAAAAAGTTTGAGGATCCCTGATCTAGAGGGTATGCTTAAAACAGTTTTTGTTTACTTAGACAGTCAAGCCTGACAGAATTTCTCATTCTGTTTAACATAGTTTGGTTTACCCTCTTAATTCTTTCATCAAGTGTTTGTGGGCCCTTTTGTGGCATTAAGTACTGCGGGAATATAAAGACGCACGCCATTCTTGGTCTTTTAGGAAGGTAATTAATATTCTACGGGAAGGAAACACTGATCCTTACTACAGAGAAATACGAACATAGATTTGAGAGCGCAGGAAGGCTTCCTTCACAGAATGAGGGGTTTGAGTTTCATCAGAGGGGTGAATAGAATAGTTCCCTAGGCAAAGAGGAGAAAGGTCAGTGGCCAACTGATAACCTTTACATAAAGCAAACTCAAGGTCTTTACAGAACCTTGAATGACTGAACCTTTTGAAGGCAGTGTGTGGTGCTAAGGACTTTTTATTTCCATGGGGGCAATTACCTTCAGTATTTTTGGATTTCAGAATTTGTTTCTGTGAACATTTTACTTGGAGAGTTAGTTGAATGTGGTTAAGAGCTCAGGCACTTATGTTTGATTGTCTGGATTTGAGTTCTGGTTTTACCACACATTAGCTGTGTGACTTCAGGCAAGTTACTCATAGTTTCAATTTTCTGTCCTTTAAATCAGGATTATGTGTTGTAACAGCTGCCAAACATTATTTTTCCATGTTGGGAGAAATGATGACCTGTTGTGCTTTGGTATGAGGCACATTAATTATGTTAGCCAGTACAGAGCCTGCTTGTTTTCCCATGGCTGATTCTTAACATTTTGCTTTCATCCTGACCCTGGATCTTATTACGAACTATAAAATTGGGCCTTGTAATTTCTGGTCAGTCTGATAGGTGAACATGGGCCCCCTTTTTAGATCTTGTACTCTGTCTTTAAAAGACTTGAAGCTCAGCAGAGACTTGTTTTACAGTCTTGGGAGAATTAAGTTTACTGGGATGTTGATGTAGAGATATTAGTGGCATGAGAGTATGTATTCTGTACTAGGCATTGGCAGTAAGTTTATTGGAGATGATGTTGGGGGTGTTAACTTTGTAGATGGAAAAAATGTGTTCTAAGCACAAACCACATTTTAATGGATTAAGCTTTTGTGTCTGTTGTCATTGAAACCATTTATCTTGCATCTGTTCTTACACAAGCAAACAAATGGATCCCCATAAAGACGAATTCAAATCCGAAGCAATGTGATTAAATCAAAGCACAGCTCTGGAGTCAGATTGCTTGAGTTTTACTCTACTGAATTTGTGATGTTTGAGCCAATTTAACCTTCACATTCATTAGTTTCCTTATATAAAATGGGGATAATATTAGTACCTGCTTCAAAAGTCTGTTGAGAAGATTAAATGCATTGGAACATGCAAAGCATTTGGAACGGTGCCTGGCTTGAGGTGTTTTATTTGTGAATGAGTTTATTGAATGAGTGTGTGAATACTTCAAAGAGCAAAAACAGGAATCAAAGCTAAGTTAAAATCAAGGTGAAAAACATTTGATTCTCTTTTTGGCAGTCTGATACCAAATAGAGGCAAGCTGATTTAATGTAATGAATGTGTCACTAGGCTATTATCTTACAATGAAGAGAAGTGACTTGGAACCAAAATAGGCCTTTCAGTAACTGATGATTGTCAGTCAGCTACCCATTGGTGCCAAACTATCAGAAGTCCCAGAAATTGTATTTTATTGCCCAGATTTCATGTACCAAATTGCCTGTGCATCCATAAGTAGTGATTCGACCATGAGTCTCAATTCTCTGGTTCATAAGTTATTATCATAGCTGCAGTCTTCTCCATCTCAGAAATGCTTGGATCACATTGATGAAATAATTGCAGCTAAGATAATTTCTTGAAATGCTAGTTGTGTTGTGAAATTTATGTGAATAAAGTTGGTGTTAACTCTTTGCTGATGGAGGTTTTGAGAGTGTGATCAGTGTAGACTTTTGCATAAGTCAGAGCTTTCACATAGTTTTGGGGTGTTAAAAGGATAGGGATGGCACTAATGTTATAATAGCTTCATTATAGTCATAATTGGTACAAAGTACTGATTATAGAACTTTTAGGGGTAGTAGGAAGGCTCTTTCTCTTCGGACTCATGCTACTACTATCCCTTAATCTACTACTGTCTTCTGCAATGAAGAAATTTCTGAAGATGAGAGGCTGAGTATTTGAGGTTTTAAAAGTAAATAATTCTTATAACTCAGTAATAAAAGGGCAAATAAATTTTAAAATTGGCAAAGCATATGAATATTTTCTAAAGAATATACACAAATGACCCAGAGCACCTGAAAAGATGCTCACCATCATTAGCCATCAAGGAAATGCAAATCAAAATCATGAGATACAACTTTTACACCCACTTGGACGCCTATTTTATTTTAATTTTTAAATATATTTTTAATTGATTTCAGAGATCAAGCCCGCAACCCCAGGCATGTGCCCCGACTGGGAATCAAACGGTGATCTCCTTGTTCATCGATTGTCCCTCAACCACTGAGCCACGCCTGCCAGGCCATACATACTTTTTTTTTTTTTTTTAAATATATTTTATTGATTTTTTACAGAGAGGAAGGGAGAGAGATAGAGAGTTAGAAACATCGATCAGCCGCCTCCTGCACATCTCCCACTGGGGATGTGCCTGCAGCCCAGGTACATGCCCCTGACCGGAATCGAACCTGGGACCTTTCAGTCCGCAAGCCGACGCTCTCCACTGAGCCAAACCGGTTTTGGCCATACATACTTTTAATTACACAAATGTCTCTACATAAGTAAAAACAGGTTAACTAATTTGTCAATATTTTAAACATGCATATTAAGAAATCCTATGTTATTACGTAACTGATTTTCAGCTTTAACGGACACTCCCTTTCCCGAATTAGCCCCTTATATTTTACTTACACACTTGGAATCCCAAAGTTCCCCACATCCAGCCTCAAGGCACTGTACTTAGGCCTCCTTGCTTGAGGGGCCAATCTTAGTGTTAGCAACAGGGTACCCCAGCTTATATTTTCATTTCTTGCCCTCAGTCTTGTGCCAATTGTCTTGAGATGCTGAGGGCTCAGTGCTGGCTGGAATGAGTTTGAGCTATTCTTTATCAAGTGATGAAAATGTTGTAAAATTGATTGAGGTGATGGTTGCACAGTTCTGTGAATATATTAAAACCTGTTGAATTGTACACTTTAAATGGGTGAATAGTATGATATGTGAATTACAGATCAATAAAGCTGTTATTTAATAACAGTGGATAGCTTCTGCTTCTGTAGTTGTACCAGTCTTTTGTGGATTGTTTTGTGGCTTTCTAAATGAAGGGGATTATATAACTAATTGAATCTGGGATAGTAGAATGTCATTGAAAGTTATAAATATATTTCCCCCCTCAACATTTAAAAAAATACTGAATGTACATTATTAAAATTTCAAAGCATAAAAATATGAAGAGCGAGGGAACCAAGATGGTGGCATAGGTAAATGCCTGTATTTGGTGCCTCCCACAACCACATCAAAATCACAACTAACATACAGAACAACTACCATTCAGAACCACTGGAAAGCTGGCTGAATGGAAGTAGTACAACTAGAGAAGTAAAGAAAGCACACTGAGACTGGAAGGAGGTGCAGAGGCGTGGAATGGGCTCTTCCAGCACCCACATGTTACGCTTTTTTAATTGGGAGGGAGATTGCCTCTGCGGATGCTGCGTGGAGGAGCGAGGGGTCCCAGCCCCTCACCAGAACCCCCCAGCCCAGGGTTCCAGAACTGGGGAAAGAAGTCACTACGGGCAGTAAGAACTCGGGACTGTAAAAACCAGTGCAGATTGGGGCTGAGTTGCTCCTCTTAAAAGGCTGGCACCACAGAAGTGAATCTACAAGCTCCTGTTTCTTCTAAGCTCCAGTGCCAGGCAAGTCTCTGGGGGACCCAGACACATATGGGGAGAAACTGGACCACCTGGCATTGGGGCAGGGACTTGGGGGTAGCTTTCTCCCAGATGGAGGTGCTTGCAGTGGTCATTGTTGCCATGCTGGGACCTCGTGGGTGCAGGGCTGACGCAGCCATTTAAAAAATTTTTTTAAAATATATTTTTATTGATTTCAGAGAGGAAGAAAGAGGGAGAGATAGAAACATCAGCGATATGAGAGAATCATTAATTGGCTGCCTCCTGCATGCCCCCCACTGGGGATCAAGCCTGCAACCCAGGCATGTGCCCTTGACCAGAATTGAACCTGGGACCCTGCAGTCCGCAGGCCAACGCTCTATCCACTGAACCAAACTGGTTAGGGCAATTGAGGTATAATTTATATGTAACATATACCACTTACTGAAATATACAGTTTAGTAAGTTTCGATAAATGTGTTAAGTTGTGTAATCACCATAGAACATTTAATTCTACTCTCCTCCCCGCCAAATTTTCTCTTATTCCTTTGCACACAAGCCCCACACTTCACTTCCATACCCCAGTAAGTACTTAATTTGCTTTCTGTCTATAGTTGTGTATTTTCTGTAACTTGATTTAAGTTGAATCATACTGTCTTTTTTCGGTCTGGCTGTTTTAAAAGTTAGTATGATGTTTTTGAAATTCATCCATGTTGCTTTGAGTATCAGTAATTTATTCCTTTTTTATTTTGTTGTTTTTATTTTTTTGGTTAATCCTCACCCGAGGATATTTTTTCCATTGATTTTAGAGAGAGTGGAAGGGAGGGAGAGAGACAGAGAAGCATGGATGTGAGAGAGACACATCAATTGGTTGCCTCCCGAATGTACCCTGACCCGGACCAGGAATTGAGCCTGCCAGCCCTTCAGTCCCGAGGGCTAATGCGCTAACTAGTCATTCTAACCACTGAGCAAACTGGCTTGGGCAGTAATTTATTCTTTAAAAAATGTTTTTATTGATCTTTTTAGAGAGAGGAAGTGGGGGGGGGGAAGGGGGGTAGAGAGAGAAAGAGACAGGACCATGCTCAACCAACTGAGCTACAAAGGCCAGAGCTATTCTTGTGTAGTCCATTATATAGATGGGTGTTTGGGTTGTTTTAATCTTTTGGCTATTATGAATAAAGATAGTGTGAACATTTGTGTAAAAAAGTCTTTGTGAAGATAAATTTTTATTTCTGTTGGGTAATACCTAGGAGTGGAATTGCTGAGCTCTTAACGATGGTTAACTGTAAATGAAAACTACTGAACTGTTTTCAAAGACCATACCATGTTCATATTCCTAATTACTAATATTCCTGAAAAGATAATTTTTTGAAACATATTTTCCTGGGATTATACCTAATTTAACATAGCATTAAGCATGATTCCTTAAGGTATGCTTATGCTTAGAGTGTTAATATATGCTAGAGGCACTTATTAAAATGTAGATCCTTGGGTCTCATCACCAACATTCTGAATCAGTAAAGTTGGAGAGCCACATGGTAATATGACATTTAGTGTTGTTTTGTTTTTTGAAAACTAGTTTTCATTAATATATTAGTGTTTATTGAGCTGTTTCTGGTTCTTCCTTTGCATTCACCATGCATTCATTCATTGTATTACCTATTTTTTCCTATAGTACTTGGGATCTCCCAAGGCTTATCTGGGCCCCTTTCTTTGCTTGCCACCTAGTGGTGATAAATAGGAACCAACAAAAGTTTTGCCCATGAATGAATTCATGAGGTGGACAATGCCCTTAAAGAAGGAAGGATGGGAACATTCAATGATGGTTGCTTTATTAATGAGTTCCCCTTCCTCCCATGACTGTTATTTGGGAAATTTTGTATTTAGAAATAATTTATTTGTAAGAAGATATGTTTTAGAGCCTGTACATTTTTAACTTTTATCTTAAACTGCTAGCTCAGTTTTACTGGGAAATGAATAGGTATGTGTTTCTGTTACCTTATTTAATATAGAGATTCCTCCAAACCATACTATACTAGGTACTGTTTGACATTGTTCTGATTCCACACAACAGATTCTCTTGCTAGGCTCTTAGTTTATTTTACATGCTTTTAGTTTTTTACTCACATTTTGATGATGGTTAACTTTTATATTTTGTTTTACATTAGTTTGGTAGAAAAAAGACCACTGTGAAGGGATGTATTACCATAACTTTATAAGGTCTGATTTTCACTTTTCTGTTATAGAAATGGTGGAATCAATGAAGAAAGTAGCAGGGATGGATGTGGAGTTGACAGTTGAAGAAAGAAACCTCCTATCTGTTGCATATAAAAATGTGATTGGAGCTAGAAGAGCTTCCTGGAGAATAATCAGCAGCATTGAACAGAAAGAAGAAAACAAGGGAGGAGAAGACAAACTAAAAATGATTCGGGAATATCGGCAAATGGTGAGATTGTTATACACAAGACACCTTTAAAGAAAGGTGCGCTAGGTATTTATGAGACTGACACGCTGTCACTGCGCCAACAGGGCCACTTGTGTTGGGTATTTCAGATCACAGCCTAGTACATTTGTTGTACACATACATAATGTACATTTTATATTTTAGTGGATTTGCATCTTTTGCTTACCTGGATTAGGAATTATATGCCATACAATATTTTAGGGCAAAAGTGAAGAACTTTTTTCTTTGAAAGCTGCAGAGGGTGGTGTTCAATTTTGAGAACCACACAAGAGGATAATTAATAATTTTTATTGTTGTAACTGCAAGATACTTTATTTATAGAGTCACTTGAAATTAGCACCTAGTGGTATTTAACAGATACTTGTGTGCCTCTTTCGCACAATACAATTTGCTAGGTACTATGGGTGCAAAGATGAGACTATCCTTATGGATCCTCAGTCTAGTTATTTTTTATTTTTTTTAAAACATATTTTATTGATTTTTTTTACAGAGAGGAAGGGAGAGGGGTAGAGAGTTAGAAACAACGATGAGAGAGAAGCATCGATCAGCTGCCTCCTGCACACCCCCTATTGGGGATGTGTCCGCAACCAAGGTACATGCCCTTGATGGGAATTGAACATGGGACCCTTCAGTCCGCAGGCCGACACTCTATCCACTGAGCTAAACTGGTTAGGGCTAGTTATTATTTTTTTTTTAATAGAAAAATATCAGAGGGCATTAGACATTATTCCATGAGGTATTGTTTCATATTATATATGTGTATATACATTTATGTAATACTAGAGGCCTGGTGCACGAATTAGTGCATGGGTGAGGTCACTCAGCCTGGCCGGCGATCGGGGTTGATCGGGGCTGTGGGAAGTTAGCTGTGGGAGCCCACTGACCATCAGGGGGGCAGCTCCTGTGTTGAGTGTCTACCTCCCGGTGGTCAGTGCGCATCATAGTGACCGGTTGTTCGGTTCAGTAACTCTGGCTTTTATATATTGATTATATTTTTTACTGTGGGTTTTGGTCAAAAAAGTTTGATAGCTTTTGATGTAGTGGTTCTCATCCAGGGGGTGATTTTGCTCCTCAGAGGATATTTCGCAATGTCTAGAGACATTTTTGGTGTCACAATTTTGAGGGTGCTACTGGCATATGTCGGTAGAGACAGGAATACTGCTAATCATAAGTGCTGTACTTAGGACCATCATCTCCCACAACATATCTAGCCCAAGACGTCAATAGTGCTACTGTTAAGAAACTGATCCTAGTGGGCCCAACTTGTGTGGCTCAGTGGTTGAGTGTCGACCTATGGACCAGGAGGTTTGATTTCCCTCCTGGGAATTAGTAGGGAGGCTCCATCCCTAGGAGGGAGACAGCCCATCAGTGATTCTCTTTCATTATTGATGTTTCTATCTCTCTCTCCCTCTCCCTTCCTCTGATATCAATAAGAGATATATTAAAAAAAAAAAAAGGAAAGAAACTGATTCTACTGGAAGAGATAGGCATATAACACAGAGTACAGTGAGAGAAATTACAGAAGCAGACACAAAGTAGCATGGGGAGTGAGTTAAGGGGAGGAAAGGGGAATCCACACTTACAGACTTTCCAGCTCTCCTGTGTACTGTTCTGAGTGGGGAGATACATAATTGTGTAAGATATTGTAGTTATTTAATCTTTAAATGATCCCCTATAAAGAGTAGGTATTTCAATGTATAGATGGAAAAACTGAGGTTCTGAGTATAGTACCTCATTAGAGAATTTAATAAAAATGTGCAGCACTTAGTAAGTAGTAATCAGTGTTACTCTTCTGTACCTGAACTATGAGTTCATTTTTTTAAAAGCTCTTGCCTATGTGACTCAGTAGGTTGGAGGTCACCAAGTACATCAAAAGATAGTGGGTTTGATTCCCTGTCAGGGCACATTCCTAGGTTGCGGATTTGTTTCCCGGTCCACATGCATGCAGGAGGCGACTAATTGATGTTTATCTCTCCCCTCTCTCTTCCTCTTCCTCTCTTCCTGCCTCGCTCACTTGCTCACTCCCTCTAAAAAAAAAATCAATAAAATAAATTTTAAAAAAGTACTTGATTAATAAATAGCACATAGAAAGAAATAATTTCTAACCTGGAGATAACTTTTCTCTGCTTTTTGGTTTAATATGGCTCTCTTCTTCAAAACCAGATGTGATAATTTATAATTTCTTAGACTGAAACAATTTTTTGACTTTTTCCCCCAGGTTGAGACTGAACTAAAGTTAATCTGTTGTGACATTCTGGATGTACTGGACAAACACCTCATTCCAGCAGCTAACACTGGCGAGTCCAAGGTTTTCTATTATAAAATGTAGGTTCTATACTAGAAGGGAAAATGTCAGATTAAATGTTGGCCCTCTTAGAATCATCACTTTTTCTATATAGGCTTTCAATTTTTACATAAGAGTAGTTCTTTAATGTTGGAAGTATAGTTACATGGGAGGAGTGATTCTCAAAACTTAAATTAATTTTTGAATTCTCATTTGCAAATTCACTGCTAATGAAATATTAATATTATAGCATTTAAGATGGTCAGACTATTACTGTAAAAATGTACTAGGTTTTGCTTTACCTATTTACATTTGTTTGCCTGTGTGTGGTTTTCCCACTAGTTTCAGCAGAGCATTATGTAGCTCAATCTTAACATTTTTATATGAAAATTTTATTTCATTATTAACAAACTGTTGTGCCATTCTTTGGAATAATTTTTGTTACTTAATCTAGCCTATCAAGTGATAAATTTGTTGATTTTTTCTTTTTTTTTGAGGTTGTTAGTTAATTTCTCTAGGGTTTTGCTTATATTTGACAGGAAATCTCTAAGGAGGAAAAGTATACTAGTTAATTGTTTAATATATAACTGTTAATATAATTTTAACAGTTATTTTTCATTTAAAAAGCATTTTTCTAATTCTGGTTTTTGTCTTGTTTTGTTTTAGGAAAGGGGACTACCACAGGTATCTGGCTGAATTTGCCACAGGAAATGACAGGAAGGAGGCTGCAGAGAACAGCCTAGTGGCTTACAAAGCTGCTAGTGATATTGCAATGACAGAACTTCCACCAACACATCCTATTCGCTTAGGTCTTGCTCTCAATTTCTCCGTATTCTACTATGAAATTCTTAATTCCCCTGACCGTGCCTGCAGGTAAGTTATGGAGGAGAACAAAAACTCACTATGAAAGACAAGAAGGTTACAAAAGAGAATAAATAGCTATATGGTTTTCTGTCTTGTACCCTGTGG